GGCGAAAGCCCTCTGCTTGTACTTCTACTCTTTAGGGTCCAGGAGGATCCCAATCGATGGCTTCGGCGTCCGGCATAAGGCCGAAGTCGGTTCTGGGGTCCATGTTGTGTTCCGACGGTTGGCCTTGAAGTTTTCTGGCTTCAACATTGACTCCAGTATACTTCAGTGAATGCGCCCTCCCGCCCCCTCTCCAAAACAAGGGCTGTGAGGCAACGCCTTATGACGACACGCCCGAGTAAGATGCGGGGGTTGCTACTTTTGGGCTGCAGGCTGCTACACGTCTTATCCTGTGAACAGCTTCGACAGCTTCCTTGAAAATCTGAACGGGAGAATACGCACCGTCATCCTGATGTGATGATACTGACAAACTTGACTGTTACTACCGTTATGGACAATGATATTTACAATTTACACAACAACATCCCATAATCACTGTGTATTTACATAAAAAGCACTGCATTCACAGATTTTCTCTCGGCAGCGAGAACGCTGCATCCAAGCACGCCAGGTCGCCAGCTTGCAGCGCAATTGGATTTGGGCCATGAAACTGTCGAAAGAAACGGCCAAATGTACGATCGTCTTACTGCAGTTGCCATGATGAAGTATCCCCTCCTCCAAATTTCAGACCCTCTATCACCTCTATCATAAATATCTGTTTTGCCCCGGATGCACCCAAATACTACGTTACTTCGGGCATTGTAAAGGGTCACTTAAATGGCTTAGGGATGGGAACCTATAAGAAAAAATACAGCGCCTGCAACCCCATGCGGCTACTTGCTGCCGTTCCTACGGTCCCCCAGAGCTTGTGGAAAGGGGGTACTGTATGGGAAACGTACTCATAGCACAACTTCTAGCACTCACTGTCGCTTGCAATCCTAAGGTTTCGGATATTCGTATAACGACATGCCTAGTCGTAGTAGTAGTAGTAGTCGTAGTAGTAGTAGTAGTAGTAGTAGTAGTGGGGGTAGTCTGCTGCTGCTAAGCGTATGGAGGCAGTCGCGCTCTTACTTTCTCTCTCGCTTTCGGCGAGTTTACTACTACTACTACTACTACTACTACTCCTGCTGCTGCTGCTGCTGCTGCTGCTGCTGGTGCTGCTGCTGCTGCTACTTCTTCTACTACTACTACTACAACTACTACAACTACAACTACTACTACTACTACTACTACTACTAGTACTACTACTACCACTACTACTACTACTACTACTACTACTACTGCTACCACCAAAACCACTACCACTACCACTACCACTACCACTACCACTACCACTACTACTACCACTACTACTACTACTACTACTACTACTACTACTACTCCTGCTGCTGCTGCTGCTACTACTCCTCCTGCCGCTGCTGCAAAATTATGTTATATAATGGCGCACGCGCATAAGCTCCGGGTAAGTCGCGCGGAGGCCGGACCCCCTCATATTTGACCCAAGGCCCACCCGAAGACTAAAGACCTCATAGCAAATGGAGCCTCTCAAGCCCCAGGTTTAACACCTGGATTTTGAATTTGCAAGACTGCAACATACAACAGTAACAAGGATTAGAATCGCAACATTTGTCTTGTCTGCAGGCTACTACGGAGCGCACTTTGCAATACTCAACGATACAGCCATCATCGGAGCTTCCGGTTCACAGGCTTCAGATTCGTGCGCAAGCAACACATGGCATTATGTCAGCCCAACAACAGCCCAGCTGGGTCGAGGTATATGCTTTCATTGAGAATCCCCCACGTTCACACAGCCGTGGGTTGACCGTTTTGCATACCTCCCGACATGGAGTCGATATGCTTTCAACAGGAATCCCTATGTTCACGCCGCCACGGGCTGACCACTAAGCATGTCTCCAGGCCGGGGTGCATATCTGTTTTCAGTGGGAACACCCAGGGTCATGCCACCTGCGGGTCGACTTTACACAAGGCGGGCCGACTTAACACACCACACACCTGCCAAGTAGTGCCGCATCGCTACATAAGCATCAACATCATGCTTCACCGCTCTCCCGCCTATTTCATCACGCTTATCACGTTTAACTCTGGGGGGCAATCTAGTGACTCCCAGCATGGGCCAAGCTCCTTTGCGCGCGCTAGCTCTGGCCTTCAGCAGCTGTCCTCTTGCAAAAGCACGCCGGCCCGACAAGTGCTGAAGTGGGCATTCCTGACCTACAAGGAGATACTGCCGAAACAGCGATTCGAGCCGGGTTGCAAGCTCCGGTCCAATTCAGAAAAAGCAAAACCTATGGACTGACGGCAACTCTAAGAAACATTTGCCGTGGTTATACAAATATATATATATAAATGAATATCTATATATATATATACATACACATATACATATACATATACATATACATATACATATACATATACATATACATATACATATACATAATACATAATACATAATACATAATACATATACATAATACATATACATATGACATAAGTATAAGTAAATTCATATTTGCATGTGTATATATATATACATACACACGTGTATATATATATATATACATACATACACGGTATAATCTTCACGGCGCAGGCCTGTCAAAATGGGCCTACCGCCATGTCCTCTCGAATGAATCCGAAAGCTTCCGCCTTCCCACGCAGCGTTGGGGACTCGCGACAAGCAAGCAGTTTAACGATTTTCCCCCTGCAGGAAGGAAGAAGATGGCAAACCTGTCCTGGAGCTTGGCCACAGTAGGACAACTTCGCATCTTCGCGAAGTAGTGGAGAGTGCATGACAAGAAGTTATGAGCTATGCATGAGGCTTCGCAGCTATTCTTCGACTGTCGCAAAGGACGGGTGATCTTTCCCATGATGGCATGACTCGCACAAATCAGACTCCCCGGAAACTGGTCTGTGCCATGATTTGCTGCTGGGTAAACGAACTCCCAGTAGAAGGTCGAGAAACTTACAGTGCTGAGCAGCCCCTCTCATATTCAACTCGCACTACGAGTCACCACAACTGATTCATGCACATGGCCTCCTGGGAGAAGCACTTGTGTTCCAAACTCCCGGCATCTTCAAATGCAACAGCTCCCGGTCGAGCATCAACGGCAGTATTGGGTGTACGTGCAGTTTTTGCGCATGCACGGCACACATTGACGCCATGTGGCTGCCACAGTGGAACCAGACTGGAAGTGCGGCCTTCCACAGTTGCCTCATAAGTTGGAAGCACACGATTTGTGGCACCACCAGCGATAAGAGTGCAGCCGTGCAAACTCCTGGCGGTGCCAGATGGCATTCAGAACATTCCATATTATGGTGTCAACGCGCATGCTGGACAACCCGCAATCAATGGTCCATTCGCACCCGACAGTCCTCTGATACATGGATGTGTTGAGACCCGGGGCTAGCCATACCCTCATGCCACAAACGCGCCAAGGTATTGCATTGGCAATCCAGGCCCTGGAGGATTGCTTTGGCGAAGTGGCTTACGCACCTGACTCTCGCATGTGGGTGGCTGGGCCTTATTAGCTGTAAGGTGCAGCAGGATCATTGACAGCGTGTGCGAAGCAGACTGAGCCTCGCGGAGCTAGGGCCTCAAGACTGGCCTCAAAAATTGGAGCTTGGTCAAAAATGTCGGATTTTTCGTCACGACCTGATTTCATCTGGGGACAGATCCCAAGTCGCTCAGTAGCCTGTCAGCAGCCCGGGCCCGGCATTCAGTCCTGGAACTTCCGATGCCATCACCATGACCGACACGACCGAACAGTCTGATTCGGACTACTCTTTAGCTTGGCATTCTCAGCCGCAGTGCACCTATATTATCCCAACAAAGTGAGGCAACACAGCGGGGTTCCGATGTTGAGGACCAGGGCAAGGTGGATTTCGTACCTGTCTATGGAATGGTGCTCGCGAATTTCATCACAATACACTGAACTGCCGCACCCTCCAACTTCCTATACCGCGCTTTCGGCCTAGTGCCGCTGGCATTCTCGTTTCAAGGCTCTGAAGTCCTGGCAAAGCCACATTAATGGGCCTCGCGGGCTCTTCGGCATAATCTCAAATATTACCGCACTATCCGCGCCGCACCTATAACGGGAGGTGGAGTGTTCCACGTTTGGACATGGTGCTCTCGTCACAGTGCTGTTCCAGTTTTGTGTGTTCGCACGATGTCGGAGGGTTGCCAGTCGTGGCCTCGTTGTGCTCTCGCCGTTCGCAAGTACGAGCCCGACTCTCGCCACAGTGTAGCTCTTGGGGACGACCCTGAAGTGGAAAACCATCATGGCATGTTGAACTGTCCTTCTTTTCGCTGCTTTGGGTCTAAGTCTGTGCTGGCCAACGTCTGGAGTATTCTTTAGATATCTTCAGCCCTAGCATGCGGTTGGTGTGGCTACTGTTCACAGTAGTCATTGATCGTTTCTGTAGTCTACGGACAGCGAAATGCTTGCTAGATTCACGACCGCTTCTACTACCAAGAATTTCTACCTACGACGCGAAAGCTACTCTGGCCCGGGCCTCGGGCTTGTCAGCTCTGCCTGGCCATGCAGTACATTAGCTGAATCAATAAGGAGTCTTGATCGCCGCAGAATTACCAGAGACAAGAATGCTGAACAAATGCACTACGAGCTGGGCTTTGCCGAACTCTACGAGGTTCAGCGCTACAAGTTGTGCGGAGGAATAGTCTTGAGAATTCGGAATGGGCCCAACGTCACCTGGCTGCCGTGTGTTACCGCACGACTTCTGCCTGCCACTACAAATTATGAATGTATTATGAAGCACTGCGGAACTGCAGGAATCTGGGCCGAATGTGAGCTGCAAATAGTGCCGTAAAGCCCAAAGGACCTCGTCGGATTCGCGCTCCTCTTTGACCTGCGCAAAGAGTACGAGAGCCCCAGCGAACCCCAGCAAGCCAGTTCCTTAGCCTATGCGTTATCGGCTTGTAAGCAAACCAAGATCTCGTCGTCCAGATTCCAATCCTGTAGACGTTCCCGTGACTCGATCTGCAAATCCCCAAACTGCCAAGAAGTGGAAACATGTACAAATCTTCACCAGCGACACAAAGCCAAACATTGCCGGCCTGTTTCATCTGCGTTTTCTCCAGAGGAGTTGTGCTCACTTGATGTTGTAGATGCCTCAGCGGCCCAGTGCTGACAGCTGACATCCGAATGGAATGCTGAGGGCGCACAAGCATAAGTGAATCAGTGGCCTTGCACAGACTGGGCCACGGCTGCGAAAACACCGAATTACTGTAATTAGGGATCAATGCACATTTCGGAGAGCTACGAGATGTTATAAGGAGGCGCAGCACTCGCACACAACCAAACACAACTCTGCAACCAGGCCACTGTGTCGCTTGCGCACGCCTTAGCATCTTCCTTTGCCTGTGGCCGATGTTGGCTCAACGACTTCTGCGGCGTGCTGGCCACAGCATTGTCGTGAGGAGGTCCTGGTGATTTTGAGGGGTAGAGAAGGTCCTAAGGTGGGTGAGGCAAAAAGACCAGCTGTTCTGTTGCAGGATCTGCAGCCGAGTCAGCTCAAAAAAACGCGGCGCTTTGACAATGTTTTACAGCTTCCATCGATACTGCTTGCAGGCTTCACCGAGACACGTCGCCGATGTGCAAACAAGAGGCCGGAAGTCAGTGCCTTGTACCTTGGGCAGACGCTGGTCCGGGCCAGTTGTGGACTACGGCAGATCTGCTTTGCACTGAATTCAACTCTCATGACTAGTACCTCTCAATCCAATCTCGACATACTGCAAGCCAGCCCGACACATCTGGCTCGTGCATTACTTGTAACTCATGTGTTCGTTTCTTCCTCATTTAACCAGTTTGTTAACAGTTGAACGTTGTACTTAACTACGGGCAGATGCTGGTTTTTTGTAGCTGTATAAAGTTACGACGACGGTGATGCCGGGACCGTGGGTTACCATATTAAGGAACATGATCCGGATGACGACGACGAGGAAAATGGCGACGACAATCAGTGCTGTGTGGGTGGGGCTGCGACAACCATCATCTTGACACATGAGGGACACCCGAGAGCCGAAGATCAGGAAGACATAAACTGCGACGGCTTGGCCGCTCAGCTGTACGACGATGCACTGAGCAGCCCATTGCATATGGATCGGCTCTAGGCCCAGAACTTGCTGATTGCGAGCTACAGAGACCGGCTTGCTGCAACTAGACCCCCGCTGAGTGCAGCACGCCCCCCGAGCGATCTTGAAGAACCAGAAATACTGCAAAGCAGCCTGGCAAGTGAGCTTCAAACCGGCAACCGATCAAATGGCTTCAGCATCAAGGAGACGTCTATCCGTACTTAACGACAAAATGCACAGATGACGTGTGAACGGCATTTTGGCGGTCAGCTACATCAAGACGATACGGGAGTGATCGTTCCAACGCAGAAGCAGCTGGAGGAAGTACTAGTGCTGGGCAATTCACTTCGCGCTCGCTCATTGAAAAATGCCTCTGGCGTCCTGCTGATTGCTCTGCAAGCGACGGGCGATTGTTTGCTCACAGGCTTAGTATCCATGGAGCACATGCAATGCTTTTCCACCTGCCTGAAGCTAAGGCTCAGACTCCACCGAAGTAGCCCAGCAGGAACAAGCAACGATTCAGGACTGGAATGCGCAAGAACCTGGGTGACTGCTATGCTGATGTAATACAATAATATGAGGCCTTGAGGCGCCATGCAGTGCGCAACGGCCCCGAAGAATGATGCGATATGGCCCAAGCAGCTTGGGTGGCAACATGCTGTTCCACCAGTCACTGCAGGCGTGACATGTCGCATGCTCACGCTTACGAGCTGCTTCAACGATTCGGAGCTGAACTTGAAGTGTCCAAGTTGCAGGTCGAAAGCCTGTGCAGTGGCACATCGATAATGCAGACTAGTGGCCCATCCTGCATATGGTAGATGCGGATGAGCATGTAGCTGTAAAGGATGACCTGAGCTCTGGAACAATAGAGTCAATAGAGAAACTCCTATTTTCTCCTGTTCAGGTACAAGCACAGACTTGAACCCGCGTGGCCCAGACGGCACATGCCGAGGTCCCAGCACGGAAAATCAAGAAGGAGACGAGCATGGTCATCTGGGGAATCCGTTCAAGAGGACAGCGTTTGCTTTGGATTCGTGTCTCCAACCGCTTAGATTGACTTTCGCAAACTCGACGACACGGGAGGTTGCAGCCACTAGTAGCGCATGCTGCCGCAGTGTCCGGCTGGCAGAAGGACGGCGAATAAAAACCATTACCCTTCCGATCTTTGCCAGCAGCTGCAAGTCATGCCACTTGACATGCTAAGCTCGCTGCTCCGTTGACGATGTACAACTTGCCTTCCAAGACGTGGTGTGTGATCGAGCATTGCGGGCACCCGCAACGAGATGATTCATGGATTATCGAAAGACTTTGCAGCGGCAATGCGGTGTTCAAGATGTGACAGGCAAGGAGGACAATAGCTCCTCATTCCCGCAGAAGCTCAAGGCCAACTGTGTCAATCGGCAAGGCTGGACATGTTCCGTGGCACATGAACCAAGCAGCTCGATTTCATGCCGGCCCGGTCCAGGAACCAACGCATGGCCACAAAAGGGGTCGAAAACTCACACCTGAGGAGAAGGCATTGGATCGGCTTCCTTGTGCACTACAATTGATGGTTTCTGGCCGGGAAAGCTGGCACATGACGAACATCCGAGCATCAGGCCCGGTTCGTGAAAGGGTCTCCCAAACAAGCTACCGAAGCGTACCGAAGCTGTAGTTACGTTTGCTCTCAGACTAACTACTGACCACTTCTGACAGACCAAACAAGGCGATCTTGCTGGCCAATGGCAGCATGGCAACAGTGGCCGGCCCTTGCGCATACCGGCCTGCTGTGAGCTGCCACCTCCGCGGAAACAGCAGGCTGGCGACAAGGGAGCGAAGCTGCAACATGCTCTGAACAAACTCAGCACTGCACCAAACAACCAGCACCAGCACATGATGGATCCTCGGATGAGCCATCCCGACAGTGATCGGGCACTATTATACATAGACCATAGGCCTCAACGAAGATTCCGGAAATTCACGTGGACAAGTCGCAGATTTGTTTGCCAGCCGGGCCAGGCAGACCCGAAATAGAGGGACAGGAACAAGTCCTGCAAGATGTAGCCTCGTTCGTTAGTAGCCCTTCCACTCACATGGCCGCTAGCCGTGCCCGTGATCTGGAGCTTGGGATCGAATTTCATGGAACTGGCTGCACAAGCGCTTACGGCCCCAGCCCCAGCATGTTGCTTCCCTTTGTCCGGCACGCACATCTTCCCCGAAACGAAACGGGTTATAACGGGTTAAACACGCCGCGTCACCCATGAAGACCTGGCAACAAAGCTGCGTCATGTCTGTCTCCTGCACTCTCGGGCGGCCCAGTGATCTAGGGGAGACATGAAATCGAATGGCACGCTGGTATGCCCACAACCCTGCTTTCAGCACAAGTGTCCTGGAAGAAATCCGTCGAGCTGAGAAGGTCCGGTTTGTCGAGAAGTGCCATCACACAGAGAACAACTAGCACCACTGCGTGGAGAAGGCCTGGCACAGGACACATTGAAGCAGCTGACCAAACCTCTTCTTCTACCTCTCTACACAGCTCACGTGTGGTCGATTGGCAGGTGGCCGTCATCACGTTACAAGCACTATAAAGGATCGGCTCCCACATGATCCATGTGCGACCTGTAAAGCTCGCAGCCCAGTATGCCTTTTCACCTGGGCACACAGTGGACTCTCGACAGTGATAATGCGTGGTGATGGTGCTGATGTCCAAAGTCGTATGGCCGAGAAGGGGGGCGATGGGAGCCCACCCACAATCATTCATTTCGATACATGCCTCAAGAAGACGAACTGAAATTCCCTCGGTTGATATCTGAGGCTGGGTTGTTTGGCTCACGCCATGCTTTTTCTGCAGGCAAGGGGCCTTTGGCTGAGTCCAGACTGCCGAAATGCCTTAAAACGTTTCGTCGCATCTCTGAACACCACAGAAAATGTGCACTCAAGTCACGGAGACTGAGACAAGGGAAAACGCGGAAACACGGTGAAACACGCCTCTGGCTGCAACCGGCAAGAGACCTTAAAACAAGGAACAACTCGATGAATTACTGTCTCGAAGTGGCGGCTACGAAAGCTTCCAGATGGCATCTGTTTGCTCATAGTGCTGGCTACTCCTTCAGAAACAGATTGAGCGGTACAGCGCCTTAAGATGCCTTCTATCTTTCATGGTGTGATGTTCTGCGGCCTGTTCCTGTTGCCCTACTACTGATGCTGGCATGAGCTTCTCACCGTTGAACTCTGGGAGCCTGTGCTTCCGTGTGTGTGTATATACATACATACATACATACATACATACATACGTACGTGCATGCATGCATACATACATACATACGTACATACGTACATACATATGTACATATGTCATGCTAATGTATGTATGTATGTATGTATGTATGTATGTATGTATGTATGTATGTGTATGTGTGCATGTATACACACATACATGCATATATATATATATTATACACATATTACTTTGCTTTGCTCTCTCTCTCTCTCTATGTATATGTATATATATATACACATAACTATATACATACATATGCATGTATATAGATATATAAACATACGTAAGCACATATATATATATATATATTCCAAGATTCTACACATGCAATGCATCAATACACACAGGATCACATTGGTATGTGTGTGTGTGCAATTTGGCATCATGCTTGTTGCAAGCCGAGATACGGCAGCCAATGCGGGGCAGCGACGCGGGCCAGCCAGAAAGATGCCTCGCAGTCGTGCGAACATGCTTCAAGGCATACAGCTTGAATTCTCGCTCGGATGAAGTTTGTATGACTGTGGTTCCGAGTTACAGCCGAACACGCAGAGTTCCTTTGTGAAGGACCATTCATAAGCGAGATCATCGCATGTCTTAAATGACGTGCAAGAACAGATAGACTCACGCTGTAACCGCTACAGCTACGAGATGCATGACGACTTGACGGGGGGTTGATACAAAAACCATCGAAAGACGATCATAGGCGACGATGGCCCTTTGCAGGGCAGGAAGCCTGCCAACATGCGGCCGAGGCCAGTGTCGGAGTCAGCGACATGGTGGCCATGGCGAGGAATCACGGGAAGTCGCGTCCGGAGTCTTTATCAGGGAAACATGTGGAGTCTGCAATGTAGCTGTGGAATGTTTTCATGGTACGTGAAATAATCCCGTGCCGGCAGAAGTTCTGACTCCGAGTTTCGGGGGCCTGTGTGTCATGCCTGTGCCTTCGGCAAAACGAGGGAGCGGTTGCAAAATTTGGCTGGGAGGCACACAATCGCTGGCTGGTGCCCCTCTCGCCCCGGTACAATCCTGGACCAGGTCATCGTAAGTTGTGGCGGCCTTTGATGCCGCCTCCTTAGCGACATCAACGATTAAGTGAACAGTTGCAGCGCATGGGCTTGGTGGAAAGCTTGCCGTGACAAGTCGGCAAAACAACTGATAAGGGTAAATTCACTGACTCGCACAACCAAGAGTGAAGAACAACAGGTCCAAGCTCTGACCCCACACGCTCATACAGGCTCGTCGCAGCAGTGAGAGCGAGACCATGGTGAACCTACCGCTTCAGCTTTCTCTGATGTGGAAACGGCCAGGTCCCTCGGCGGTCGCATCGGCAAGGCGACTTTCGAAAGGGGCCAGTTTGGAGCGCACCTGACCAGGCTTTGCCACACGGTTGCTGCAGCTGCGTTTCTGAAGTCGCAACAATGCTCAGTGGGAGTGCGCAGTTACAGACTGGCGAAATCCTGGCGGTGAGTTGTTCATCGTCATTGTCGGTTCTCTTGCAAACCGCTGTCTATTTTGAACTGGTTCCACCGTGTCGCTGGCATGATGCAAAGGGGTATGCATGCGGCAGGCATCGTCAGCCTTTGCCTCTGATATGCATGCTCCCCACAAGCATCTGTCTCTGACGCTGCAGCAGCTTCTAAGCCCTGCATGTCCGCAGGAAACTGATGAGCTGGTATACTCGGGCAGCCTTCAGTTGGAAAGCTGCATGTGAACCGCGCACTGTGCAGGCCTCCTCCTGGACCACTTTCTCGAAATGCTTCACAGCCTGCTCATGCCATTGCTCTGGACAAGCTTTTGATAGTGTCTGCGTGTGCCTGCTGAAGTCATGCTGCCTCACTCCTGTGCCCATGATTGAAACAAAGCTTTACACGCTGAAATAGAACTAGTGCAGCCACGGCATTTGCACCGTTCACATGCCCGGCTTCTTCCACTGCTTCTTCGGCATCTTTTTGCGCGGCCAGCACCTCCCACATTCTGAGAACCGTTGTTGCTTGCCTTGGGTGCCTGCTCAGCCGTTGACAGCCGTTGCCCACTTACCCGCCTTAGCTTCTCGCGCCTCGCGGGCAGCACGCACCGCCTGGTACGGGACGGCGATGATATGATGGGAGAGGACCATTGCAACACTGCAGTCTGGATCAGGACAAAGACTGCTTCGGATAACAATAAACATCGGAGTGCTCAGGAGACTTGGTTAATCGCATTCAGTTCGCATGTGTCAGATCCACTGCTACCGGTACCACAGAGATTTCAAGACGACCGCTCGATGATGATCCAGAAGAATGTTACACCCGGTCTTGTGCTGTGACCCGCGGCTACGTCAATCTAGTGTGCAATGTGCTGAAGCGATGGAGCCCCAGCAGCGCCACGGATCAAGCCCCTGAATGCCCCAAACACCCAACCACCGTTCAGGGGTTCCTGTCTACAGACGGCCCCTTGATTGTTTGAAGGGGTGGGGCCAGTTCACTTAGTAGAAAGCACCACAAAACACCTCAAGTCCGATTGAGAAACTCAGCAAAACCCACGGCCTCCTTAAGACGCGCTTCCTCTTCTGCTCGGGCCTCTCTGCGAAGTGCTCTGGATGGAGACTGGGGCTTGAGAATTGAGCCGCTTATGCCATGCTGGTGCCTTGGTACAGTGTATCTGCCTGCATCTGCTGTGAGCAACAAGCTGTTGATAACTGTCGTTCCTGTTATTGCTGTTCGGGCTCGTTGCTTCTGCTGTGAATTACATCGCTGACGTGGCGCTTATGCTCCGTGGCCGGCGGAGCAGACACGATGAAAAACAGGCAGATGTTGACTTCATTTCCCTCTGCATATCGACATCCCAAATATATCTGTGGCCGAGATGACGCAAGATCACGCAAGGAGTCGCCTCAGCCTCCGCGGCGGCTGTCACATCTGCAGCCTCTGTTGCACGTCACTGCAGCAGCATGGCGCGCAGAGTCAGTGAAAAACTGCTTATACACCTGCATGATACACATGCGCTGGCATGACTGGCGCTAAGCCTGACTTCCCCAGTGCCAGTGAGGGCACTGCGTGCTGAGCTTGCCGGTCACGCTCGACAGCCACGCGGTACTGGCAAATGCTCCAGCTGCTCAAGAAGGGATCAGCCAGATCGGGACGTCCATGCACCATCTCCATGTGCGGTTGAAGGCATGGTGGCCGTTCGCTCACTACATTTCGCAACATGATCAAGAGCCACGTGAAACCGGTAGGGGCAAGGGCAAACGGTATGCCAGGCTGCCGTCTGAAACAAAGGCAAGGCTGCGGTGTCCTGCAAGTTTGTTTCCAGCGCCACCCTCTCCTCGGCGAGAGCCCGTTCCTGGGTGACTTCAAGGAGGAGGTTGTTGACAGGCGAAGCACAAGGCTGTCGGAAACAGTCTGACAGCAGCAGGAACCAAGGCACCGACAGCTTCTGCTTTGTCCGCCTGGCGAGGGCTGGGCGTGCTAAGCTTGCCGTGGATCTTGCTCCGAGGAATTTGCAAATGTCCAGGGCATTCCATACCCAAGAGCATCCTTCCGTGCGTCCACAACTTTTGACATTCTCACAGAATCCGTCAGTTGTAGAAGGCAGAACCGAACAATCACCAACAGTCACATCCCAATTACATCTCTGCAAGTGATGAGCGGCGTCAGCAGACTCTTTCGCCATGCGGGCGACGCGAATCTCAAGGTTTTCTGCTGCGGCCTGGGCTAGCAAGATTCTGAGAGCCCCAGTCACCAACTCTGTCGCGAGACTGCTCCAAACAATCATGCTACATCGCTAGGTTTCCGTTACTTCGAGGGATGTTAAAACCGTGCATAGGTCTCATAGAGGACTAAGGTAAGGTTGCGGAGCATTCGCACTCACAAAGTCCCACCGTTCGACTGTAGCCGTTTTCAGTGGAAGTTTAAAGCTTGGTGCAAAGGCCCACGAGTTCTCCGCCACCCAAAACACCTCCGCTCCGAAGCTCGGTGGAAGGCTTCTGGAGACTCGCTCTCGCCCCTTTCCGGTTGAGCATCTCCTTGGCGACCTGGCTGGGATCACGCTTTGCTCAGGACGGCTCGGCTATAGGATGCTATAGGTAAAAACTCTACTTACAAAGCCTGCTTGAGGCCTGCGGCGATGCATTCCCTCATGTTCAAGCCAAGGTGTCCAAGCCTGAAGACGAGCTGGACGAGGACCGGAAGCCTCGTTGAGGGCAGAACTTACACATCAGGGGTATTGTCGAGGTGACTCGAAAACTCTGATGGAGAGCCTGCTAGTCTGTCTGGGAAAATGCCGCCACAACCCCAGCCACGGCCCCGCGCCGCTGGAACGCTTCGTTGAAGCTTCCGAGCCGCTGGCCTATGCATTTGCTGTGAGCTGCTGCCGGCGCGGTTTCTGTTGCGGCTACCCCCTCTGAGTGACTTTCCGTGCTTGAGATATCGGTTCACAGTCCACCAACTGCTCGGAAAATTCCACCATTCGGCAACAGACCGGAAAGATGCAGGCTCGTGCAGACTTTTCGCCAACGATTATCTATTCCATGCTCAGCCAGGCAGGAAACCTCACACATTCTCGGAAAAGTATTATGCTCCCGCCCGAAGTCGGATCTTCGCACCTTGTCCCGCCGCGCCGTCCTTCGAAACAGGAGAAGTGAGTCTCTCTACCTGCAGCACCTTCGAGGAATGCTTTAGTCTGCAAAGGGGAGGGAGCAACTGCAGCAACTTCTGATAAGCTGTCGCTGCCAGGACGTTCCGTTGCACAGGCCGTTCCACTCGCACTCTGCAGGCATGTGCAGGTCAACATCCACCTTCTTTTTCTTCGACGACCACGTCTTCGAGCCTCAGCTCACAGTCTGGGCTGCGCCCGGAGACCGGAAATGCCAAAGGCAGGGCTTCAACTCACTCAACTGGGGCAAGGACCCTGTGACTGGTTCGACGGCGGTGCCTCGAAGGGAGCGGTTTCAGTGTTAACTGCTGCTCTGGCATGCAAAAAGGTTTAATTGGCTTGTGGGCGGCATTGTTTTCCACCGTCCAATGGCTCTCGAATGGCACCCGAGGAGTTCTGCATCGAACGTTCGCAACTATATCAGTGCTGCTCCCAGCCTCTTCAAATCTGTTGGGCTGGGTAAGCAGTGGAACAAAACCGCCTGAATTTGGTGCGGAAACAGACCCTGCGAAGCTGCCAAACATCTCTCTATCGTGTCCTCGCGGCACAGCTACAACGTGTTTCAACTATGTTCGGACAGCTGGGTGGCTGCCATGCTCGCAGGCTCGCAGATGCAATGGCCCAATTAGCGGGCAACTGTCTGTTCGTCGCGGGGACGGCTCAAAGCGCACTTGGGCCGTGCACTGTTGAGAACCCCTGGCTCCACTGAAGAACTCAGGGACGCTTTTGAAAATCGGTCGTGCGAGTCGTGCGTGATTGCTAAATTAGAAAGGCAACCTGCTACACAATGTAAAGAAGTGTTAAAAGTTGAAGATTGAAAGAATTCTGCATGTTACAGTAGGCCCTCCGTAGGCTCTTGCTGTCAGCAGCTCGTCGGAGCAGTTGGAGCAACGGATTTTGCTGCACCTCCGTCCGCAAAGTTGCTTGGAAATGAGCGAGGAGGAATAGCTGCGTTACATTTGAGCGCATGGTCCACATGATGCCGGGCTGCGTGCAACGAGGTCCAAGTTCTCCACGATGTCCTGAGCTGTAGGGCGCTCCTTAGGAATGACATGCCATGCCGCCGTCATGATCGGGCGGAGGCGAGAGTGGCAGTCGGCTGCAAGAGGCCGTGGCTCCTTCCCGTCCCGATATTGAAGTAAAATCACCTCTGGGTCGAGACCGAGCTGGTGGAAAGGAGCCTTCCCAGAGCTCATGAAATAGATGATGAGGCCGTATGCATAGATATCCACCTTCTCATCATAAGCTTGGTGCCTCAACACTTCAGGCGCCATGTAGCGCCAGCTCCCAACTCCACCTGTCATGGAGTATCCTTCGGCGTCGCGACGTGCCATCAATCGACTAATGCCGAAATCGGACACCTTGATCTCCAAGTGCTTCGTCAGCAGCAGGTTCAAGGGCTTTAGGTCCCTATGGACAACATCACGGCAGTGAAGGAAGCTTAGGGCCCGCCCGACAGCAGAACTCCAGTCAAGCACCTGACGAAGCCCGGGACGCCAGACAACCACATCATGGCTCTTTCGTTGAGCCATGAAGTAGCGCTCCAAGTCACCCCCAGGCAAATACTCAGTGACACACATGATCGGCAAGTGCTGATCGATGCAAGCCCCGAGGAACATCACGAGGTCAGGATGCCGCAATGATGAAAGAAGATCGATCTCGTGTAAGAGTTCGTCCGAAATTTCCTTGCCTTCCGCGTTGCTTCGCAAGCCTTCGGGGCAAGTCTGTGGACTCTGAACGGACTGAAGCTGGTTGAACTGAACCTCATCGTGTAAGCCAGCACACTTGACCACTACATCGACACCCTGCCAGCTCGCACGGTACAATGTGCTTTTCAACGTCCTGCTGAGCTCCTGGTGTAGCTTGAAATCTTTGCGAGACAGCTTCCAGTGAGAGTCCATGGCACGAACCCAAAGCCGCCGCTGCCTCGTTGAGGAGTCATCTTCACTGCACGACGTAGTATCTGAAACCGCGCGTCCGATTGGCCCATCACCTCCGTCACAGGTGCTGGCTGACACCTGCGGGACGAACGGTGACGAGAGTTTCCACGCCGGCTCCAGACTGGTCATGGGTGATGGCTGCAGGTGAAAAGCCTCTCTGGACTCAAACCCCTGCGTACATTGAGCACAAGACAACGATCGTCATGCTTGTCCCTCGTATACGACTCGACTGTAGCACATGGGCAGGCCACAGAGCGACGTCCTCAAGGATCCCGTTCAAAGGACTGCTTTTCCAGTAGCTGGCCCATGAAAACACGCTTTAGTCCATACAGGATCATACAGCTAGATCGATAGACCGATATTTTAGACGGAAGTTCAGATAATAGATAGCGAGATGTCGGGCGGAGAGGAAGGCAGATTCGTTGGAACTGCCACGAGAAAGAAAAACCAATGTGTGTCTGCGCGCGCGCGCGTGTGTGTGTGTGTGTGTGTGTGTGTGTTTGTGTTTTGTGCATACATATACGACAACACAAATTGTCTTTTTCTGCATATCGTAACTCTCGAAGCCCACATCGCTGAACTCAGGCATCTTCCCCGCGCAGAAAGAAATCTCTGTTCCAGGCAACGATTTGGCACAAAAATCCTGCACGAAAAGACTCCGCAGCTGCAGCAAGTAACACTGCGGGTGCCCATACCTCTCTTTCCCGAGTATCCCCCAGTGTTCCTTTGTTTTTGAGGCTTTTCGAGTCCCGGTCTGGGGCTGGCACGTTTATGTATATTTCCTAAGCCTCGCCATTTGCACACACACACACAAGGGCGTTCTTGCAACTGTATCTTAAGTAGGATTGTACGGATTTGCAAGGGTCGCAGGAATATGATTCTGCAACAAAAGATAGGTTCGGGATTCGGGACAAGCAATACATGACATGGAACTGCTCGCATGAAAACCGGTTTGGGGTCCAGTGTGCATATATGATTCATATCTAGACTCTAGACTCAATGCTCCTGGGCTTGCAACATGCGGCGTTTCCGCGTATCATGCCTTTCCCTTGCCAGCTTTCCAACTGAATTTCTGCGCTTTCGCGCTGCCACAGTTTCACACAGTGGGAACTTGGTCCCAAAAAGGTGGACCTGCCGCAAAGCTGTGGACATGTTGGCAGAGTTAGAAAACAAACATCGATCGGTATATCTTCGTACTATATACATACATACGTACATACATGCATACATGCAAACATACATACATACATACATACATACATACATACATACATACATACATACATACATACATATATATATTAATATATATATATATATTAATATATATATATATATATATTAATATATATATATATATATCTGTGTGTGCGTGGAGGTGCGGGTGAAGCCGTCTTCAGCCGGCGCACCTCGCTGCATCTCGCCCGCGGTGTCGGCGACTTCCTGCAAACGCGACTCTTTCACGAGGTTTACCGGCTCAACAATCGCAATTTGGAATCCGACCGCGTCGCAGGAACAGTAGCGGAGTAGCAGCAGTAGTGGCGGAGTAGCAGTAGCAGCAGCAGTAGCAGTGGCAGTGGCAGTGGCAGTGGCAGTGGCAGCGGCGGTGGCAGTAGCAGTAGCAGTAGCAGTGGCAGCAGAAGTAGCAGCAGCGGGATGAGGAGAAGGAGGAGAAGTCGCAGTAGGAGTAGGAGTAGTAAGAGTAGGAGGAGCAGGAGGAGCAGGAGCAGGAGTAGGGTGGTAGAAGTGGTAGTAGTAGTAGTAGTAGTAGTAGTAGTAGTAGTAGTAGTAGAAGTTAGTAGTTAGTAGTTAGTAGTTAGTAGTTAGTAGTTAGTGGTTA